ATAAAGGAGTAGATGATATGAAACCCAGTTCAAAGTATACAAAAGGAAAACCCCAGCGCTGCCACCCAAATTGAGATGGAAGTTACAATGCAATAGCGCTCCATTGTTTTGTACTTCACTGGCGACGATAGGGCCATATATCTATCCACAATAAGCGCCATGAATGTTAAAATAGACGCCGTGCATAAGATGAAGTATAGAATGTGTGGGATTTTGCTATTTAAGAAGTCAAAGTTGAAGCGCTTCGCTGCTTTGAAGAGCAACTGAAACGTGTTTTCAAGTTTCTGAAAGGATCCTTTATGATGGCCAAACAGACGAGAAAGTTTCCAGGAATGGTTAAAATTGTAAGGAAAACTGAAAAGGACGCTGTGAAGTATGAGAGAGTTCTTGGAGGACCAACGTTTGAACACATACTTGACACCGATGCCAAAGCCATTCGAACTCTTCGATTTTTTCTATTCTGAACTGCACAATCTACTCAAATTTAAAGCTCAATTTCATGAATTGAGTAATTTGAAATGTAGACGTTTAGGCTGCTATAGAATTGTTTCTCGTAAAAATGTTTCAATTTAATAAAGTTTATAAGCACATCGTAAACACGTGTTCACTATACTTGCAATTAAGTTTGTCAGTGCCGCAAAATCTTAAGCGGCCTAGCCAGCATGTCACAGGCTCACAGGAAAAGCTTGTTTCCTGAAGTGTTTGCTCGATTTTTTTAGGTAGCCTTTTCAAGATAATGTGAAGAATCATTTTCCCCCTTACTTCCATTGTTTCTTTACTGTATAAGTCAACGCAAAATCTACCAAATCGTTCAAATTCGCCATTTAGAGCCACAGAAACGACAATACACAGCAAGTGAGGTAGATTTACATTTATTTTGAGCCTTAACATAGACATTCCTTGATATAAGTTTACGATAGTACGACTCTTCAATATTCTCCCATACATTTCTTTATATTTCGAACAAACGACCAGACACGCCGCTTGTGTGGGCTCCCGGTGGTATATCGGCATGATGATACTGCGTTAAATTTCAGTGAAAACTCCTGCTCCAAGTTGAAGTAAAGAATGATAAAGTGAAACGCTAAATGAAGCATTATATGGAGAGTGATTTTATTCGTCGTGGTTAGAGGGCCCTGGCTATAAATTAAAATCAAGAATATTTAGTCGTTTGCCTCGCAATGCAGAGTTCGTATAAAGGAAGGTTTAACCTGTTGATCTGTAATTGATAGCTGACACTTTCATGAAAAAGAGACTCTGCGTCTGGGAGGAAACGAGTCAATTCTAATTAATCAAAATAATTCTAATTAATCAAAATGTGTATACTGTATCTGACAGTTTTACACATTAGCGTATTCAGGTGCTACCAACAGAATCTCAAGAGACGTTTTTCTTCTTTTTCTAAGTAGTTAAGACACAAGCTATTATCTTCATGCTCAAACTAGATTTCAACACTTCTCAGGGTAATCGAGTTCTTACTTTATCTAATTCTTCTTTCACTTCTCTAGAGATAGCAAAAAAGAATGAATCACCATCATATTTATTCAAATTTTTTTATTTTCCTTTGTCGGTGAATGTGGACAGTTACTTTGAATAAGTTTCTTTGAGAAGTCCCTCGTAAAAATATTGAACAATAACTCATCCTCCAACCAAATACATTCGGCCGTGGTATAGAATCGTTTGCAGTGTGTAGGTTCTTTAACGTCCCACAAATCTTTTTTCACATACAAGGGCTTGTGAGACGGGACCTCCATTTATCGTCCTTATCCGAGAAGACTAGAAAGTCTAACCATTTGCAGATATTATTACAAAGGCAGCACTTTCTTCTCAGTTATTTAAAGACCCTGAGTGTTGGTCCGGCCGGGTTTGAACTCACGACCTCCCGCACAACAGTCCGGCGCTCTACCAATATTGAGCTAACCGGGAGGCGGTAGCATAGGCGGCGGAGCAGGGTTGTTTTCTCATGTTTGCCTTTGCAAAATATTTATTTCAGTCTACTCAGTTCAAGCAGCGATGGAAATATTTTGCACTTTTCTGGATAATTTAACTGACGTCCGGCAAAAAGGCAAACTGGACAAATTGATTAAAATCCTGTTTTCAAAATACTGTGAGTTCAGTACATTTTGACTGACTCGCTTTTGTGATGTACGATGACTGAGGAAGTAATTAATTTTTCTCCGGGCTGCGCAGAAAAAGTGCTTCCCTACAGCTGCATGCATCTTGGGTTGTCTACTGCACCTTTATATACCAGAATTTTTCATGCATTGAAGCTTGCGTAAGGAAAATGAAGACTATGGCGCTTTGTAGTTTTGCAATGTTCCTTTCTTCGTTGTTGGTTCAGGGCAACATGAGAGTTAAACTCTTTAAGAAGCCTGGCTGCGAGGTAACAAATGGACACGAATAATCTTAGAGTTTTTTTACCCTTTTAATCCACTCAAAATGTTTTATAGTGTTTTCATATGCGGTTTTCAATGTTTTCAGTTTGCTCTATTGATTTCAGTTAAATTATCCAAGTGGCTCGATTATAAATGGCAATTTTTTTTTCCTTTCAAACGGAGATTGTCCGGTGAGGATCACATTCCGGTGAGCGTAGAAATACCTCAACCATTCAGTCATGTCAAAATGAGCTGGAATCTTGAATTCGAATGATCCAAGTAGTTCAGTTTTTACATTTACATGTGTCGTTAATCGGTGTATTCACTCGGAGTATTCAGTTACTTCTCGAACTTAATTTTTTTTACTCAAAGTCTCTTCTAGCCTGAGGGACGGACTCAGAAAAAGTTTAGGGATGAAGGAGGGGCTAAAAATTTAGAAATATTGAGGAAAAACATCCGCAGACGTTTGGAGGAGGCTAGCACACTTTTGTCTGTTCGGTTTCCCTTGTTGATGTCAGTTTAGTTATTCAATAATTGAATTGAAGGAGAAAGTCAAGGTACTTTTCATTCATTCAACGATCTGTCAGAGCTAGCGGTCTTGTTTTTATGTTTATTTTTTCGAATAAACTTGAAACTTGACGTACATTCTAAAATCATGTTTATGAAATATTTAGGCACAACGTGAGCGGCAGTACCGGAGAGGCATCTGCTTACAGGCCCGCGAGCTGGGATGTGAAGTGGACCAAATGAAATGAGTTTCCCGAATTGAAGACTTACTACGCTAACTCAAAGTTACAGCAAAATGTTCTTCTTAAATGATGAAATTGAGATGTAGATGTCTATTTATATAACGCTATCATCACTATTGTATTTTAGTGAAATTAACCTGTTTGACATGAGTTGAATAAAGGCTGTGATCCACATGACAAACATGTGCTATTCGCTACTTTTGAAGTTGAGCCCAAACATTTTAAATGGACAGGGTGGTGAGAAAACTCTTTTAACTCCCATGAGTGACCGCGACACGCGACATCAATATCAAGCGAACAACGGATGAGAATAAAGGAAAAAATCAATCAGTGAATTATCCGTTGACCCAATACCAATCTTTCCAAACTAACATCCTAAGAATTGTACAGCGGACAGTAAGGAGAATTACTAATCAGATCTTTAGAGTGAAGGGGTTTTTCTTGAGGCCTTAAATTAAAGTTTAGTTAAAAAATTGAGTTATTGCCCCTGTAATGCGCAGTACATTTTTATTCACAATTTGCAATTGGTTCTTATTATTAAGAATCCTAGAAGAGCAACACATCCTAATCAGTTTGAGCTATAGAGCTAGAATTTTGCAGAATGTTATTAGGCTGGAGTTAATTAGCTCAAACTTTTTCATGTAATCTCTTTCCCTACTGCCGGTAGTTTTTAGCATGCTCAAATCTAGACGTGTAAGCTGCTATAGAATTATTTGTCGTGAAAATAAAATGTTTGAATTTAATACTGAAAGCTTGTAAACATATCGTAGACACGTGTTCACTGTATCTGAGTTTGTGCCGCAAAATTTTAAGCGGCCTAGCCAGCATGTCACAGGCTCACAGGAGAAGCTTGTTTCCTGTAGGGCTTGCTTAATTTCAGCTGGGTAGCGTTTTCAGGACAATGTGCAAATCCAGCTTTTCCTTTGGTTTTCCCGCAAGCATGAACCTCTTGTCTTTATTAAGTTTGGCCAAACACCCTGCCGGGGAAGGCCTCAATTTGGATGAGAAACAAAATCATTTCTCTCCTTTGAGAACTTGTTTAAAATATCTACGAAATCATTTTCGTCATTTACTTAGTTAAGATACTGAAATGGAGTAAACGCAGCAGCTCCGGTGAAACGCCTGGAATGCAGCGGGCTGTTTTGTAAACAAATATTAGTGGATCACGAGAGATTATTATCAGCAGTTTACATTCTCTTATTGACCATAAATAACTAAACATAAATAACAATTCTTTTTCCCATCCCTTATTGCAGTGTGAGCAACTCTAAGTCTGGTCCATGTGAAAGATCATCAATCGGAAAACTTTATGTTTATCAGCCTACAAAATAATTGTCTGAGTAGATACATCAACTATTTTATAAGTTAATTTTTTACTTTGTTATTTCACTTTTTTTTAGCTCACACGGGATACGGTGTCTGAGGGAAAGGGATCATGAGCGTTTGTTATGTTTGTTACGGAACTTGCACGCTCATTTGAATTTCTTTGCAAAATATTTATATCAGTCTACTCAGTTTAAGCAGCGAACACATTTTTGGATAAATTAACTGACGTCCGAAAATCAGGCAAATTAAACAACTTGGTTAAAATTCCGTTATCGAAAAACTGTGGCACATTTTGACAGATGCGTTTTTATGATGCATGATGACTAAGGAAGTTATTAGTTTTCTCCGAGCTGAGCTGAAAAAGCGCTTCCCTACAGCTGCCAGCTGCATACATCTTGGGTTGTCTACTTCACCTATATGTACCAGAATTTTTCATGCACTGAAGCTTGTGTATGTAAAATGAAAACTACAGCACTTTGTATCTTTGCAGTGCTCCTTTCTTCGTTGTTGGTTGAGGGGATGGTCCCTAATAAACCCTGTCCGGGTTCTGGCTGCAAGGTAACAAAAAGACACGAATAAGCTTAGAAATTTTTTACCCTTTTAATTCACTCAAAATTTTTCCTATTTTTCTTTTTTATAAGCGGTTTTTAGTTTCCAGTTTTTTTCAGTTTGCCTTATTGATTTCAATTAAATCACTAAAGCGGCTCGATTAGAAATGACAATTCTTTTTTTCCTTTCAAACGGAGAATGTCCGCTAAGGATCACATACCAGTGAGCGTAGAAATATCTCAACCATTTGGTCATGTCGAAATGAGCTGGAATTAATCTTGAATGATCCAAGTGGTTCAGTTTTTACATTTACATGTGTCGTTAATCGGTGTGTTCACCCGGAGGATACAGTTACTTATCGAACTGAATTGTTCTTACTGAAAGCCGTTTAAAAATCTTACAGGAACGGACTCTGAAAAAGTTTAGAGATAAAGGAAGGGCTGAAAATTTAGAAATGTTGAGGAAGAACATCCGCAGACGCTTGGAGGAGGTTAGTGCAGGTTTTCAATTTGTCTGCTGGGTTTGCCCTATTGATGTCAGTTTAGTTATTCAATGTTTGGATTAAAGGAGAAAGTCACGGTACTTTTCCTTCATTAAACTATCTGTCAGAGCTTAGCGGTCTTGTTTTTATGTTTATTTTTTTGAATAAAGTTAATGGTAAATTTTAAAATCATGTTTATGAAATCCTTAGGCACAACGTGAGCGGCAGTACCGGAGAGGCATCTGCTTACAGGCCCGCGAGCTGGGATGTAAAGTGGACCAAATGAAATAAGTTTCCCCGACTTGAAGACCTAATAAGCTAACTTAAAGTTACAGGAAAAATGTTATTCTTAAATGATGAAATTGAGATGTGGATGATAAAGCTATCATCACTATTGTATTTTAGTGCAATTAAACTGTTTGAAATGAACTGAATAAAGGCTGTGGTCCATATAATAAACATGTCAGTGCCATTCACTACTTCTGGGTCCAGTTGATCGAAGGACGATTAATCCACGTTTCCTTATTTCTCTATTACAGAAGATTTTTGGGATAGTTTTCCCTATTGTTTTGAGAGCATCCGATCATCAAATTATAAACGAAAATAGTTAAACTGAACTTTCTTTGGCTTTCAAATCTGAAATTAAATTTCACACTAACCCTGGGCTATCTTAACCCAGCTTTGAACAACCCGGCCCTGAAGGTGAGCCTGTAGTGTCCAGGCCTCCAAGTCCATGCCCAAGGCCCCAGGAGACGTAGACTCGAGTACTTATTATGCACTGTGAGTGAGAACGGGGGTAGGAAAATTTAGGATACCGAACAAACTACGCGAACTGTAAGCGAACTGTGTAAGCGAACTCCTGAACATTACAGAGGCCAAACATTTGAAGTGGACAAAGTGGTGATATAGACTCTTTCGACTCCCATGAGTGACCGCTACACGCGACATCAATATAATATCAAGCAAACAACGGATGAGAATATAGGAAAATATCAATCAGTGGATTATCAGTTGACCCAATACCAATTTCTCCAAACTAACATCCTAAGAATTGTACAACAGACAGTAAGGAGAATTACGAATGAGATCTTTAGAGTGAACGGGTTCATCTACAGGCCTTTATATCAATGTGTAGTTAAGCCTTGAGTTATTGCCCCTGTAATGCGCAGTACATTTTTATTCACAATTTAGAATTGGTCCTTATTTTTAGGAATCCTAGAAGAGCAACACATCCCTATAGCGTATTCAGGTGTTAGCAGCAGAATCTCAAGTGACGTTTTTCTTCTATCTCTCGGTAGTTAAGACACCAGCTATTATCCTCGTGCTCACACTAGATTTCAACACTTCTAAGGGTAATCTAATTCTTTTTTCACTTCTCTAAAGATAGCACAAAAGAATTAATCACCATCATATTTATTGAAATTTTTTTTATTTTCCTTTGTCGGTGAATGTAGACAGTTACTTTGAATAAGCTTCTTTGAGAAGTCCCTCGTCAAAATATTGAACGATAACTCGTGCTCCAACCAAATACATTCGGCCGTGGTATAGAATCGTTTGAGATAGCTGAACACTGTTTGTTTCATTAAGTCTAATTCCCAGCGAAAATCTTTTTGATAATTTCTAAAGTCAAGGTGTTTTCATTTGTGCAAGAGGAGGATAACACTCCATTGAAAGATGCCAACTCGAACTGCGCCTATTTAAATGAAAGCCGTTCAGAGTTAAAATTTTTTCTAAAAAAAAAAGATAGCTACTATTAATACTCGTTATCGCGCAAAGCACTCGATTTTGCTGAGTAAAAAAAAAATGATAGAATCAAAATGAAAAAGGGAAGAAAGAATAACAAGATATTTAATGCTAAGTAAATTATTCATGTGATGGGTGAAAATTATGACATACGATCTATCCATACCTTATTATTTTTGTTAGAATTTCAGAGTTAAAATGTAAATGAGCGTAAGGGAAAAAAGTGAGGGAATCAACACAGGTGGATTGACTCCATCGAGAACTCACACTTTCACATTAGCAGGAAAGATAAATTTTATCTACCTGTGGATCTATATTCTCCACAAAACTTAAAGGGACACTGTCACGTGTTGACATGCGCAGTAGCATACACTCTCTCCGAGACTTGTCACGCTCGACAGCCATTATGGAAATGTCAGTGAGTTGAAGAATTCTGCATATATTTTGCATTTAAATCAAGTTTATCCAAAGCAAATGCTTCTGAAAGCGAATTCATTTTACTGAGGAACCTTCGGTTATCTTTTGTAAATGTAAAAGTGCTTGTACGACGAAGCGCAAAGAAAATAGTTCTCGTGGGTACCCGTGCAAAGGGAGAAACGTGCTGCGTACAGATGAACGTAAATGTGGAACAAGCAATAAACCTTGCAGAAACAGGGTATGCATATAAATTTGAATACACGTATAAAGTTGTATACATTCACTTCTTTTGTGGCTCGAATGTCCAAAAGGCATACGAAATAATTTGTACATTCCCTTTCTTCAGGATTCGAACGAGCAGTCGTCATCTGCCTATATTTATGAGAGCCGTAGAGTTCACCTGAGGTTTACCTGTATTCCAATTATAATGTGTAGTAGAATAAACATCTGCCTCGCAAATGCTACAAATGTCTGTGATATCTGGCATTATTTTATTTTCCTATCAGTAAAATCGCTGTCACTGAATGACTCATAACCTGAATCAAATTTTGCCTGAAGCCACAACTTAAATGTCTTTTCTTCCCCATAAATACGCTTATGGTTCCTCAGCCACGCTTTCTTGTATTCCCCTCTATCTTCAACCTTTCGTTTCCGCCCTGAGTTAATGTGTTTACTGCCATGTCCGGATCCTCCGCTAGACGCCATTCTGAATTTGTGAATGCAACTTGAAAAAGTCAGGATTACTTTTTCAAGTTTCGATCGGCTATACGAGCATGCACAGACCGTGACCGTGTCCCTTTAACTGTTATGGAAAACAACCACTTCTTTGAAATGGTATTAAAAGTTAATGTCGTAGTGATATAACAAGAAAAGCCAGAATTAAACTGCACGGTTCGCTTCCGCGCTTGACTTAAAAAAAAGCGGCGGCATTTTCTACTAACCATCATCTTTAAGTTTGAATAAAGTTTGATTATTTTGGAAGTTCCCTTCTACAGCAGGAGCCTTAGCTGAGAAAATAAAGCAAAATGAACAAAAAGGCCCGACAGCTGTCTTTCGAAGAAGGTATCCAACAGCATTCCTGCTGATCCTCAGCCAATTCTGTCACGAGAAGCACCGAAACGAACCCAAAATTGTTCCGTAACCCTCTCATAAAATTAATTTTGATCGAAAGAGACGAAAAATCTATTTTAAGCCGGCGACGCCTTTAAATTACCCCCGTATAATGTCAGCAAAAATATTCTTTAACAATAGCTTAGGATAACTTGAAATGTACGAAAGTGTACAAGTCAGGATCTAAAACCCTTCTCGGTTTTATCTTTTGCTTAATCAAGTTTGTACGTTTTTATTTGTACTTAGAAAATTTCGTCAGCGGTGTTGTTAGTATAAAAGGCATAGGCGGCGGAGCTGGGTTGTTTTCTCATTTTTGCCTTTGCAAAATATTTATTTCAGTCTACTCAGTTCAAGCAGTGATGAAAATATTTTGCACTTTTCTGGATAATTTAACTTACGTCTGGCAAAAAAAAGGCAAACTTGACAAATTGATTAAAAATCCTGTTCTCAAAATACTGTCTGTTGTACATTTCTGGGCTGCGCAGAAAAAGCGCTTCACTACAGCTGTACCCATCTTGGGTTGTCTTTTGCACCTTTATATACCAGAATTTTTAATGCACTGAAGCTTGCGTAAGCAAGATGAAGACTATAGCACTTTGTATTTTTGCACTGTTTCTTTCTTCGTTGTTGGTCGAGGGCAGCATCAAACTTTACCCCTGTCCGAAGCGTGGCTGCACGGTAACACAAGGACACCAATAAGCTTATAAATTTTTTTACCTTTTTATTCGCTCAAAATGTTTCATAGTTTCTTTTTCATGTGCGGTTTTCAAATTTTTTAGTTTGTGCTATTGATTTCAGTTAAATCATTGAAGTGGCTCGATTAAAAATCAATGACAATTTTTTTCCTTTCAAACGGATAATTTCCGGTAAGGATCACATACAAGTGAGCGTAGAAATACCTCAACCATTTAGTCATGTCAAAATGAGCTGGAATCTTGAATGATCTAAGTGGTCCAGTTTTTACATTTACATGTGTCGTTAATCGGTCTATTCACTCGAAATATTCATTTATTTGTCGAACTGAATTTTTCTTACTAAAAGCCGTTTTAAACTCTTCTAGGAAATGACTCTGGCAAAGTCTAGAGATGAAGGAGGGGCTGAAAATTTAGAAATGTTGAGGACGAAAATCCGCAGACGGTTGGAGGAGGTTAGTGCAGGTTTTTAATTTTTCTGTTCGGTTTGCCCTGTTGATATTAGTTAAGTTATTTAGTATTTTAATTGAAGAAGAAAGTCACGGTACTTTAATTTTCATTCATTCAACTATCTGTCAGGGCTTAGCGGTCTTGTTTTTATGTTTATTTTTTCGAATAAAGTTAATGGTAAATTTTAAAATCATGTTCATGAAATCTTTAGGCACAACGTGAGCGGCAGTACCGGAGAGGCATCTGCTTACAGGCCCGCGAGCTGGGATGTAAAATGGACCAAATGAAATAAGTTTCCCCGACTTGAAGACTTCCTAAGCTAACTCAAAATTACAGCAAAATGTTATTCGTAAATAATGAAATTGAGATGTGAATGTCTATAAAACTATCATCACTATTGTATTTTAGTGAAATTAAACTGTTTGAAATGAACTGAATAAAGGCTGTGGTCCATATGATAAACATGCCAGTGCCATTCACTACTTCTGGGTCCAGGTGTTCGAAGGATGATTAATCCAGGTTTCCTTATTTCTCTATTACAGAAGATTTTTGGGATAATTTTCCCTGTTGTTTTGAGAGCATCCGATCATCAAATTATAGAGGAAAATAGTTAAACTGAACTTTCTTTTAAAGCTTTCAGATCTGAAATGAAATTTCAAACCAACCCTGGGCTATCTTAACCCAGCTTTGAACAACCCGGCCCTGAAGGTGAGCCTGTAGTGTCCAGGCCTCCAAGTCCATGCAAAAGGTCCCAGGAGACGTAGACTCGAGTACTTATTATGCACTGTGAGTGAGAACGGGGGTAGGAAAATTTAGGATACCGAACAAACTACGCGAACTGTAAGCGAACTGTGTAAGCGAACTCCTGAACATTACAGAGCCCAAACATTTGAAGTGGACAAAGTGGTGATATAGACTCCTTCGACTCCCATGAGTGACCGCGACACGCGACATCAATATCAAGCGAACAACGGATGAGAATAAAGGAAAAAATCAATCAGTGAATNTGCTCGCGAAGGAACTAGAATCGAAAGACAAACAAGGATG